CTCTCTCTCTCTCTCTCTCTCTCTCTCTCTCTCTCTCTCTCTCTCTCTCTCTCTCTCTCTCTCTCTCTCTCTCTCTCTCTCTCTCTCTCTCTCTCTCTCTCTCTCTCTCTCTCTCTCTCTCTCTCTCTCTCTCTCTCTCTCTCTCTCTCTCTCTCTCTCTCTCTCTCTCTCTCTCTCTCTCTCTCCATGAACTTGGGAAATTGATAGCTCAGCTTAAAACCCACGTATTCTCTCAAACCCATCTCGAAACAGAAAGAAAAAAAAAAAAAAAAAAAAAAAAAGGGAGAGTGAAAGTCGACGACCACTGCCAGGTTAGTGAAGGTCTCCCTTTTTCAAATGCTTTGTGTTCAGCTCTTTTCTTTTGCATAAATATTGCTTTTGGATTTATGAATAATAAAACCCACTGAACCCAAACTAATAAGTCCATAATATTTTATAATAAAAAAATGGTGAAAAAAAGGAAAAATTTAAAATTTAAAAATAAAATAATTAAAAAAAAAAACTGCTCGAAACATTTTGGAAAAAGAGTTTATAAAGAAAAAAAGTACGAGATGTTTCACATGTTTTGCTTCACGTGCAAAACATTTGGCCAGCCAAAAAGATAATAACACTAAGAAGAAGGCGACCAATGGTTGCCTCCCTTCATTCTTATTTCAAGCTTTAAACGTATATAATTAAGGTTCTGTTCATTTTAGTTATTCGAGCTTAGAAAAAAAAAATTTTAAAAATGATCACATTTAATTTTTTAATTATAGTAAAAAATTCTCATATAAAATTACATTTCAATTTAACGGCCCTAAAGAATTTCAATCTTTAACTACTTAAGAATTAGTAGCAGAAACTCCTAGTTTTGGTAGCAGAAAGTTTAGCTAATAAAAAAATTTTGATAGTCAAAAGTTTCTACTACTGAATTTTGGTACCTCAAATTCCATCTGGTGTCCAAAAATGAATCCAAACAAATTTTTCGCTTCCAAAGTTTGACAGTGGAACTGTTTTAGTAGTCAAAAATCAAGAATCTGCTATCGGATATTCGGTAGCAAAATGCTTTTACAACTAAAGTAGCTGAAACCTTTTGCTATGAAAATAGTTGGTCACAGGTACTTTTTTGGTCGCAAAAAACGTGGAAATCTCCACTACTAAAGTTTTGGTAACAGAATCTATTGACTATCAAATATTTAGTAGCGAAAATCTATTGATACTATAATAGTTGGTATCTGGAAAACTTGTTTATGACAGACATATAATAAACTTTTAAAAGTTGGTATCCCAATTAGGCTCTATCTTATTCGTAATTAGGATGACATGTAGCAATATGAGAAACATAATTAACAGAGAAAATAGTGATATTTCGCTGGCAAGAAAGTAAAATTGCCAAGTTGATACGATGCAATATAAGAGAAACGAAGTTGTAAATATAAAAATTTCACACACAAATATAGACCTGTATTTATTGCTCCAATATTATTACATAGAAGAGAACACTCGTACAATTTCTCACACAACTTTCTCTATTTTGTCTCTCTCGGCAAACTCCCTCTCGCTAGACAAAGCTTTGCTTTGTTTTCTACTCTCTAACAAGCTTTGCTTCTTATTTAATTTCTTTCATTGCCGATGCTTGAACAATGGGGAATGGGATCCTATTTATAGGCTAATATGACGCTTGGATTATTAACACGCGACCATGAAAGCCATCCAAGGCACCATGCGGTAATAGCTCTCCTTCCACTAGCTTCCTCTAGATTTCCTTTAGGTGTATCTAAGATATACACTTCACATATGTATAATGCAATGCAATCAGAACTATGATTCAGAATCATTCTCGATTTACGTGTATTTTTTTTAAAAACATACTTTAACGAACCATGAACCATGATTCGAATCGTGGTACGAATCTACCAACCAAACGCACATTTAGTTGTTTACTCTTCTATTTGGTGTTAGGCCTTGCCTCATGTGGGCTTTTTTATTCTCTTGGCCCTACAATCAAGTTTACACTACAACACCCCCTTAAACTTGTTTTACAATGCCAAGCAAATTTCTGAGTCTCGTAAAATCCTCATACTTCATAGGCTTAGTAAAAATGTCAGCAACATGATCATGAGACCTTACATACTCCAGTCAGACATCATTTCTTGTGATGCACTCTCTTATGTAGTGATACTAAGTGTCTGTGTTTACTTCGGTCATGAAATACTGGGTTCTTCGCTACAGCAATTGCTGACTTGTTGCCGACACAAATCTCCGTCGGATCCTTCTAAGGCATGCTTAACTCTGTGTACGACGTAGCGGCAACATACTCAGCCTCACATGTTGAGAGGGTGACAATTGGTTGCTTCTTTGACATCCAAGTGAATGCAGTGTCTCCCATGAAGAATACGAAACCAGTTGTACCCTTTCGATCATCAACATTTTCGGCCCAATCACTTTTGCAATATCCAACAAGCTTGTAGTCATTAGAAACTGAATAGCATAAACCAAAGTTTGTTGTACCTTTGAGATGGCGAAGAATTATTCTCTTTGCGACCTTAAAATGAGTAGTTGTTAGATTCTCCATCTAACGACTGATGAGTCCAACTGCATACAGAATGTCGGGCTCTTGAAGAGTGTTGGATCTACACTTTCTCCTTCTACGTGCTTTGAAAGCTTGACTCCGCATTCCACTGGTGTACTTCTCTACTTGCAATTGTCCATCTTGAACTTCTTGAGAATCTCCTTTGTGTATCCTTCTTGCGAGATGAAAATCCTGTCGTCCTTTTCATCGACTTCGATACCCAAATAGTATGCCATTAGTTCAAATGTTCGTCATCTCGAATTCTTTGGCCATCACTTTCTTGAACTCTTCAAACATACTTGGATTATTATCGGTGAAGATCAAATCATCCACGTACGATCAAAACCTCCGTCCTTGTTCTTGATGTAGAGAGTGCGCTCATACAGGCATTTAGTGAAGCCATTCTCTTAGAAATACTTGTCGATCCGACTATTCCATGCTCTCGGTGCTTGCTTCAATCCGTAGAGAGCCTTCTTCAGCTTCAAGACTTTGTCCTTTTTGCCCTTTGACTTCGTAGCCTAATGGTTGTTGAATGTAGACTTTTTCTTCGAGAACTCCATTAAGGAACGCTAACTATACATCCATTTGATGTATCGTCCACTTGTTTTGGGATGCCAAAGAAATAATTAGTCTAATAGTTTCCAATTGAGCAACATGAGTGAATACCTCTTCATAGTCAACTCTAGCTTTTTGACTATAGCTTTTTGCGACGAGTCTTGCCTTGTATCTTTCGATATCTCTATTTGCATTCTTTTTCGCCTTGTATACCCATTTTACACCGTTGGTTTTATGACCTTTGAGAAGTGAGGCGATTTCCCATGTGTGATTCTTCTCAATGGCTTTGATTGCTTCATCCATCCTGGCTCGCAATCGACAAAGAGACAAAATAAAGTGAGATTTTCGAGCCTATCAGTTACCTCGTAGAGATCTTGGAGACTTCTTGTTCGCTCTTCATTTCTTTCTTTTAAGAAAGATGGTGGTGAATCTCCATCATATGCAGTGTTGACGTTGGCGAAACAAGTGGTGTAGTGGGCTCCTCTTTTGGTTGCTCCATTATTGCTGCTTCTTCTTCAAAGTCAAGACCGAATTTGAAGTCATCTACATGAGAACCAAAATCCCATTCGCCTTCTTCATCAAATATCACATCTCGGCTAATCACAATATTCCCAGTGCTAGGATTGTGCAGCTTGTAGCCTTTGGAGTTATTGTCGTAGCCGATGAAGATGAACTTCTCACTCTTGCCATCAAGCTTGGTTCTTCTCTCGTCTGGCACATGTTCATGGGCTATGCTTCTAAAAACTCTTAAGATGGGAGATCTCAGGCTTTCTTCCACTCCATGCCTCTTGCGGCGTCATTCCTCAAAATTTAGCGACGACAATCATTAGACTACATGTCAGACTATTTCAACTTAAGTGCTTGTCAGACTACATGCGTCGCTTAAACCGTTATAGCGACGACTTTTGTCATCGCTAAAGGCCCTGTTTCTTATAGTAAGTCAGGAACGAAAGGTTTCAGCACATTTCACTTCTAGAAGGCCAAGCGAATTACCGCTTTTATATTAGGTAGATTTCATTATTATAAAATTGCAATATTTGTAGTTATTGTCACGAATTTTAAGAGCGCAAGTGTGCGCTATCGCTGTCAAGTAATAAAAAGATCTCTGAGTCCAGAGTATTCTCCCATGAAGACTGATCGTTATTAAATATTGAAATTTTGTTAACCCTAAATTTTATTTGAATAACCGAAACAGGAGATGTCGTGATGAAAATTAAAATTAAAGAAATTAAAGAAAACAAAAATAGAAGAAATTCTATAATAAAACAACTCTAAGGTTCCTGATTTCACCAAGATCAATCAAATTCAAGTTCCCAATTCCCAATCAATTGACACCTATTCCTATGCTGATAGTGGATTTCACGAAATTTATTACTAATATTTTTTAACATTAATAATTGTACTCCAATCACGCATATCCCATATCTCTATTAAGATTTTAACATGTTGGAATGCATTAAGAACAAGAAACCATAATCACTGCACTAGTCACATAATTATCTCTAAGTTATGATGTTCTAATGGTATTATAACCCATGGACATGTTTAACCATCACTTCTTAGTCTCAGAATTAAACCTTAAATCATGCAAAAGTTGGTCAGACAATCACACGCATTAAGAATATATTATAACACTCAGCATAATGGAATAAACATCAATTAATTTGAAAAACTAAAAATAATGAACAATCATGATCCGGCTATATTGCAGCCCCTAGAAAATGAAATTAGAACATAATTGTAAAAGAAAACATCCTAACAAATGAAATTAACATATGAGAAAGAAGTCTAGAAGAAACTGTTTTTCAGGATCGAAGGCAAACGTTGTTTCTAGTTGATTCGTCTTCTTCTCCGTCGTACGGAAACTTCTCTCCTCTTTTTAGCTGTCCAGAAAAATCCTCCTAAAAACCCTAAGATTGTCTATTTATACACTTTGGTTCAAAAGGGTACAATTGGAATTAAAAAAATCAAATTTTCTCCATTTTCTCGCACTCCTTACCAGCACCCCGGCACTACTCGAATTGGCTCACATGCGCCATGGTGCCCACGCTCCAGCGCCCGGCGCTCTCCCTTAGCGCCATGACGCCCACGCTCCAGCGCCCCAGTGCTTTCCCTTAGCGCCATGGCCTTCATAAAATCGCACCCGATGCTTACTAGCTTTGCGGCCTCGCTTGTTTGGTGCTGTGGTGCACAAAATTTCTCAAATTCAACTGTTTAAGGTTCCTTTGCTCCAAAGTTTCATCTCCTACAAAACCAACACAAAACACACGTAAATCCTATACTAGAATCTTGAAAACCAACAAAAAAAAAAAAAACTAAGATTAAACATCAAATTTATGAGTATAAAACTCCCTCATCACTTATATTCCTTTGATTACAATTGGAGTTTTGTTATTTAATTTCATTGATTATGATGTTGAATATTATAATGTGGAATATCATCCTACTGTTGGAATCTTTATGATATTTGATAATGGCCATATTTGTATAGTATGCACAAATATTTTTCAACTTTTTCGAACATTACGAAGTTTTAATCTTTATACCTCGTTATTAGTGGTAACAGTATTATTATGCACGTGCTTTTAGAAAGTTTTATGAAAAAATGAGATTGTAGATTTTTTTTTAAAAATGAATATCAACCCACGGTAATTCCTACACCGTTTCCCACTATAATGAATAAGAGCCCATAGAAGAAGCCCAATTCCTTTTTTAAAACAAAAAGAAGCCCAGCACCGACTCATCTGCTCTTCTCATGCATGGTAGTACACGTTTGATTTATAAATTTAAAATTATAATTTAAAATTATTTTTAATTTATGTGTATTTTTTATAATAAAAAATTTTATAAAAAATTATAAATTATTATTTAAATCATGATACAAATACATCAATTAAATAAAAATGAAAAGACAGATAGACACACAGAATATAAATAGGCAACTGCCCCTTTCACTTTATTTCTCAGTGAATTGACATCACCCCTCTACAAAGTTGTATTATATGTCAGTCAAAGTCTCAAAACGGGCCACTAAACAATCACGAACAACTTTAGTGTCACGTTTTTTTCTGACTTATTACAAATACTCCATGCAAGATCTATATATAGACCCCACCTGATGTAACAATTAGATTGACATGCATCTCTAGAGTTCATGCACTTATAAAAACTATAGGAACATTGAATTACCTTAAAAAAAAAAGAAAAAAAAAAGTAGATTATTATAAAACTTGTAGAGTGAATATTTTGTAGAGAAATCACAAATAAGACAAATAAAAGAAACATGATGTTATAGCTTCATGAGTAGTATTGACTAGTGAGACATGAGATTATTCATGCACTTATGATAATCAAAACCCTGTATCACCTTGGAATCTAAAATTTTTGTTTTGCAAATAAGTGGTGAAAAATTCTTATAATTTCTATAATATATATATGTTTACATCTTTTCAGCTTCCCGACCGGCTGTCACATTTCTATCAATTTAAATTCATATATTCAATCCAATTCCAACTGTATTTGATAAGATAACACTTATTCTAACAAATTTTCATCTAATTACACGTTTATTAACAAAGTAAAAAACCATTTAGCAAAAAAAAAAAAGTAAAAAAGTAGAAAAAAAACCATTAGAAAGGCGTGTAAAACATGGCCAAGAGTCAAAAGAGAGGTAAAAAGGGGAATAAAAAAGGGAGTAAAGTAAACACCAATCAAATGATGGAGCACTTGGGAAAAAAAGTCACGAAAGATAGGCGGATTCGTTCATTGATTGATCAGTTAAAGTGGCGTAAGAGAAGCAAATTTTGGCTTTGCCTCCTGTGCAAAAAGCCATCACAAACATCACAAGTGAATGAATAACAAAGCTCTCTTCTTACCGAACAAAGTCTAAAACACTTATCATTATTTTGAAACTCATTTTAACTCCTCTAGGGCTCTCTTTCTCTCTCCCTCTCGGTCTTCTTTATAACTATCTTTGGTACACTTTTTTTTTTTTTTTCCTTTTATGGATCTAACTGTACAGCATCAAAGGCCTGTAGAAATACCCACTTAAAGAAACTGACGTACTCTGAAATCCGGGTTTCAAAAGCTTATTTGCTTACTTGAAAGCCATGAACAGAAGTGGGTATTTTCAATTATTAACAAAGCTAGGTGGCTCCTACTCCAAGGAAGTCAATGAAAGGCAAAGTACCGATCATGTTTTCACCCTTAGCGTTTCCCTTCGACCTTGTGGACATCGTTAGATTAATGCTGGTCCTGTCGGTGGCGACTGATTCAGCTGCGGAGTTTTCTGAGTTGGAATCTGATTGACCAGATTGGTCCAAACCCGCACGAGAAGTAGTGGTCATTCCTATGATTGGCCCGACTCGGTATGCGCAAATTAACTTGTCAAAACCCCCGTCTTTGAAGCCTGCACACGACAACCAAGTTATTAATTATAAGTAACGCCAAACTTGTAACACGCAACATTATCTAAACCGGATTTAAGAACAAATATAGGGAGGGGACCTACACTTGTATTAATTACATGCGCTCCGTTACAGATTTAAGAGACATTTAGTAAGATAATTTATATTATAATTTAAATTATAATTTATAATTCATTATAATATTTTTTTATAAAAAATATACATAAATTAAAAATAATTTTAATTTATAAATCAAACGTCTTTTTAAATTTAAAATTTAAATTTTGTTATAATAAAAAATTATAAAAAATAATTACATTTAATTTTTTTATTACAATAAAAAATTTTTACGTAAAATCGCATCTCAACTCAGCTTCACTAAACGGGTTTAGGATAACTTCTAATTAGTTCAAAACTAAGTGACAAATGATAATCATCCACTTATCCGTATTTTATGAACAGATTTTTTCCGTAACAAAATCTTGAGGAGCGGATGTCAGGTGTGAAATTATGGATAGATTATGTGGAAAAAAAAAAAAAGAGGAGGATAAAACAAGAGCTTAAAGAAGAAATAATGGAAAGTGAAGATACCCATTTGTGATTCTTGTGGATTGAAGTTGGTGAAGAATCCATGAGGTATTCTATTGGAGGAGGGAGTTAAAGAGAGATCAGTGCAAGTAGAGGCAGCAGATTGGTCATCAATGGTGTTTGAGATGGTTGATTCGGTGCTCGAGGCGTTATTAGCATTGTTCTGTTGCAAGGTCATGTCAAGAACAACATTGGGGAGGATTTGAGAAGCGGAAGAAGAAGAAGAAGAAGAAGAGGATCTTCTTCTCTTGTAGACATTGGATTGTTCTCTGTGTTTCCTTGCCATGATAACATGCCAATGGTTCTTCACAGCATTATCTGTTCTGCCAGGGAAAAGTCTAGCAATCATTGCCCATTTGTTGCCATACAGGCTGTGAGCAGCCAAGAGTCGCTCCTCTTCTTCCTCACTAAAAGACCTTCTGTTTATCCTTGGATCTAGCTGATTAAACCATCTAAGTCTACAACTTTTCCCTGCAAACAAACAAATGTGAAGAATTGTACCACTCTCTTAGATCTCACTTATTTTAGATCAGGACGAGGGAAAAAAAAAAAAAAAAAAAAAAAAAAGACCCATTTAAGTACTATTGACTTTTGGGATTTTTTTTCCCCTATTAGATCAACTTTTTTTTTTTTTTTACTTAATATGGGATTTTTTGATAAAATACCTGATCTGCCTTCAAGATTCTCAGCAATTAAGTTCCAGTTCTGAGGACCATATTGGGACACAAGTTCCTTAAGCTTTGCATCTTCAGCTGGCCTCCAATGACCCCTTGCACAGAGCTTGATATGACCCCCACTTTTCCTATTGTTATTATGACCTTCTGATTCCTCAACAAGTTTCAAAGACAATCCCTTTTTATTACCGTTACCAAAAACACGATTACCATTCTGAGCACAACCGGTTCTATTTGTTGTTCCCCTGCTCTGCAATGGCTGAAAACCCCAAGTTTTGTTGCTTTCCTCTGTAGAAGAGTTCAAAATCTGAAAACCCATTTGAAAAGAAGCAATACTCTTCGATTCCCCAAAGGTTTTAGAGAGAGAAAGGTTAGGAGTTAATGGTGGTGGTGGCGGCGGCGGCGGCAGCAGAAAGTTCACGTTTGGGTACCCACTGAAACCGTCAGAGTCTTTCTTCAGGTGTTGAAGTGCAGGACTCATTGTGATTGGGAGCCAAGAAAAAGGAAACACCAGAAGCAAAACGAAAGAAAAATCGCAGGAAAAAGAAGAAAAAAAAAAGAACGTTTAGAGAGAGAAGTTCAGGTGTTACAGCTATGAACTAACACAATGCCACAAAGCAAAACATATGATTTTAGAGATATCAAAAAAAAAAAAAAAAAACGGCTTTTCCTCTGCTCCTGAGGCTTTAAGTAGAATGAAAAAGATGACATTAACAAAAAAAAACAGGTACACACAGGAAACAGAATGGGTTTGAAGATGAAAAGCAAAAACGCTGTTACAAAACTAAGGAAGAGGAGAGAGATAAGAGAGAAGAACCTACACGATTCCTTTCAGTTTTCACTTCAAATGAGGTCAGGGGTCCTTATTTTGAGACTGATCTTTTCTCTCATTTTTAAAACCAAAAAAGAAAAAAGAAAAAAGGAAAAAGAAAAAAAAAAGTAAAAAAAAAAGAAAAAAAAGTCTGTGCAGGGCATGCAATTCAAGAACCGCTCGTGTGGGTGGTGGTGGGGAGAGTGAACGAGTGAGAGAGTCTACAAAACAAAAACATATTCTTGATGTTGGTGAGTGTCTTGCTTTGTCTGTTTGTTCTCCTTTTTTTTCTCTCTTTTTTTTTTATATTTCTCTCTCTCTCTTTCTCGCTCTTTCTCGGGGTTTGGGCAAAAACCAGAATCTGTTTGTCTGTTTATGAAACGTTTTCTTGCTTTTTCAAAGGGAACGGAAATTATAAGATAAAGAAAGGACCTCAGTCTTAAAGCATCCATCACCCCCATTCAGTACTAGTACTGTTCACCCCCCACCACCTGTCCTCTCTCTCTCTTTCTCTAAACTGAAATCTTTTGGGATATTTTATTCAAGTTTAAAATTTAACCTCGCTCGATTCGTTGATTTGAGTTTAGAATTTGACTTTTATTATAGTAAAAGGCTCTCATAAATAATCACATCTAATTTTTTTACTACAGTAAAAAGCTCTCACATACAATCACATCTCAACTCGAATTCTAAACTCGAATCAGCGAAACGAACGAGGGTAAAAAGTTCTGATTAACAGTTATATCTAATTTTTATACTACAGTAAAAAGTTTTTACATAAAATTATATCTCAATTTAAATTAAATATTCAAATCAACGAACTAAACTAACCATTGGTCCCGTTTATTTCACCGATTCGAGTTTAAAATTTGAATTTTGTTACAGTAAGGGCCCGTTCACTTCGCTGATTCGAGTTTGTAATTTGAGTTGAGATGTGATTTTATATGAGAGTTTTTTACTGTAGTAAAAAAGTTAGATGTGACTGTTTCGGAGAACTTTTTATTGTAGTAAAACTCATTCTAAACTCGAATCGGTGAAGTAAACGGAGCTTAAAAAATTCTCATAAACAGTCACATCTAACTTTTATATTATAATAAAAAGTTTTTATATAAAATTACATCTCAATTTAAATTAAAAACTCGAATCAACGAATTAAACCGACTATGCATCTAATTTTTCTTGGTTTTACTATATTAATGGGAAATAGTTTATTGGGTTGTGTTCAAGAGTTTGGTTTATTGGGACTTGCTTAGCTCGACCAAAACCTTTTTATTTATTTATTTATTTATTATTATTATTATTATTATTATTATTATTATTATTGCAGGTATGTTATGAATATGTTGCTGAGCAGGGAAAGGAACTGTATGAACTGGTAAGGGGACAAATAATCAATAGCTCTCGAATTTCGATTTTTAGCATACATGCCCCTTGAACTTTTTGTAGTTTGATCCCTGAATGTTTTTTATTGGTAATTTAGTCCTTAGTTCTACAAATAGTAGCATTTAACTTCATTTAATGATTATAGTTAATTGAAAAAAAAAAAGTTTAGCAATGAAAGTGCCAAATCACAAAAAAATCAGTGGACTCAAATGCTAAAACCCCTATCTGTTGTCTATGCAGGTTGCTCATTTGCCTGACAAAGCAAATAACTATTTGACGCCTGCACTATCCGTTTTAGAGAAGAACACTTGATCATATATCCTGGGAAAGAAAACATTTTACTTTTTTGTATAGATAAGCCTTATATAATGCCTTAATTTTTGCATTTTCATTTCTCATTTCCCCTTTTCCTTCTAACTGCCCCAGAAGACATATTTCGTATCATAGCACCTAAAATGTCCTCTTTTTATTTTTTATTTTTTTATGTAAAGTACTCAAATATTGTAGATGAGTATAGATACATATGCAAAAAGTGTAAATGAAAATTAGCAGTCTTCCATTAATATGTAAACGATCATGTTGCTTAAGAATATTCGCTTATTTATATCTTCATGAACTCGAAAGATATACTAATTCATGAAATGGGAGACAGAAAAAGTAAAATGAAATGTTGATCATTGACACTGATATATATATATACACACATATATAATCAACAATATGAATCAAGAGATTCATCCAACGTAGAATTATACATGTGATGAATCCAATGTACAATTATACATGGAGATCATGACTAATAATCATAGCCCGTACATTAAAAGAAAAAAGAAAAAGAAAAGAGTTTTACACTTTGGAGAATTATTTGGTACGTTAAAATAATAATAAAAAAAAAGACCTACCGATATTGCGAAGCTCCCTCGTATTTTTATCAAGTTTTTATATTTTACGTTTTGATTGGATTTTAATATATGTAACGGTTAAGAATAACCGGTAGGGCATATTAAGTACTTGACAGAGAATTTATCGAAGACTACTAGTGAAACATGGGACGCAAAGCAAGCGAAGGTATGGTTTAAAGATGAAAAGCAATAGAATACAAGTACTGTAGTCATTAATATTAGGTATTTGTTGTAACAGTAAAGAATATGGCTGATAGTCGCTGTCCACCTTTTTTTAACTGACGACCGGCGCAATGCGTGAAAACACGTAGATATATAATAATGTCATTTGATGTATTTTTAATATCAGTATTTTAATATCAGAAATTTCTTCTCTCTTTCATGAGTTTATCTCTTTAAAATCTTTCTGTCAACTTTTCTCTTAATTTTAACAGAATATTATTATTTGTTGTTGAAGCGAGCAAAGCAATTCTAGTGTTGTGTTTCTGAGCAGCTCTATCGATGGAAATGATCAAATATCTAATTACGCTTTCGGTTTTTTTTTTTTTTTAAATCTAGGGAATTCGGCGGTAAAATGTTCACTATATCTAAATAAACTTGTGTAGTATGAATTTTTCATAACTTGAATTCAAAAATCAGGAAAATAAGGTGTCAAAACACACCATTAAATATTCTATTTGGTAAAAGAAAAAATAATAATAATAGAAAGAAAGGTATATACCTAATAAGAAAAATAAAGAAAAATCAAAGCATATTTTTATTGTCATGTATGTTCTTGGTTTATTTCTTTAATCGTTTAATATTTTGAGAGATCAATCATTATTTATTCTTATGTTCTATCAAATATATTAATTGATTAATATATATTTTTATTGTCATTGTTATGGGATAGGAAATTTTTTTTTTTTTTTTTTTTCAAGTTTCTTAACTAATTGGATGCAGTTTAAACATCAACTTCTCGTTTACGTAAAGATCATTTTGAACATATAATATATCGTTTCGAAATCTCAATGAAGAGAAATCAAATCCATCTCGACCCATCATTAATACAATGCGGGACCCACTCAATGTTCGAGTAAAAATTAGTGTCTCAAAATGTCATTTTCTAATATAGTTGTCTATTCAAGAGACTTTTATTGTTTACTTAGGTCGTAAAAGGCTATAGTATTCTAAAAAAAAAAAAAAAAAAGCACTAATTATTTACTTATAAAAGGCTATAGTATTCTAAAAAATTTGTAAGTTCGTCATATTTTCCACAATTGGTACTGTTAATTTGTGCCTATGTGCTGCAATAAGCAATCAATTTATGCGCATAAGTAAGATGAGATTTTTGAAAACTGATAGACGACAAGTGTGAAAACGATTTCCTAGTAAATAACTCCATTGTGTTGTTTATTTATTTTCTATTTTATATATTAGTTTATGTTTCTAACCCCGTTCAAAGATGCTATTTAAGAGACGTTTGATTCATGAATTATAATCATAAAATTAAAATCATTTTTAATTTACGTGTATTTTTTATGAGAGAAAATACTATAACGAATCATGAACCATGATTCGAACCGGGGTACGAATCTCCCAACTAAACAACCTAGTATTCATTTTGTTGGTATTAAGTTATTTTGATAAAATCTTTTACTAGCACGTCCTCTTTGTTTTCCAATCATCAAATAAAAATTTCTGAAAGTTGTTTGAAGGATAGGATATTTGATCGAAACCAACATTTTTCTTTTTTTCATTCAATATTCTAAACCACTTTGTAACATTTCATAATTCTTAATCAAATGACAAATCCACTTATTTTGACGACATCAATTTACTCATTCATCATCCAACATAAGTCAATCATGGTCTAACATATAACAAATGATGTAGAGAATTCAAAGTTTCTATATCTATATACACACAAATATGTGTACATATATATATATATATATATATATATATATATTATATACACACATGCGCGTGCGCAAATTTCTGCGGTGTGCTTTCTGTAGACGTGCTTCTACAGCCAAATTTTATAAATGTCAGTCAATATTAAATTTTTATGATATTGGGCCTTTGTTCACCGTTATTTTCTGTATTAAAACTATTAAACCAAGTTCTATGGAAAACCTCTTGAAGCTAAAAACACGCTAATCGCAATTAAAAATAACAATCAATGAAGTATCGAGAATGTAAAGCAGATAAAATATGGACAATTAGTTTTCATGGAACTTTTTTACTATAGTAATGATTGACGTGGCTTGAATTAACTTGAATTTCGGCAATATATGTTTGTGTATGTATATACCTCAATATTTATATGTCTAATAACTTTGCGTTTTAATAATAGAAATGGTTTTTTTTCATCCGTGGAAACCAAAAAAAAAAGGGAAATTTTATATTAGTACTTGTTTTAACGTAATCATCTTTTAATATCCTGTGCTTTTTATAATTTAGAATTAGTAGCTTGATGTTTTAAGAAATTATTTTAGCACCTTGAGCATTAGTATCTTGAGCACCTTTTTAGGACGTGAAATGACCTTCCTACTCATATACTTAACTTGCCCAATTTTTTTCTTCTTACAAACATATTAAAAATATTAAAAAAATCATAAAATAAAAAACAAAAACAAAAACAAACACAAAGCAAAAAAAAAAAAAATCAAATTTGAAATATGATTACTTGGGGGGGAAGCAAACTCTCTCTCTCTCCAACCCTTCTCTCTCGATAGATTATTGGTCGGGGCTGGCAGATATGGGTCGTTGGGACGGAGCTGCAACGGGCCTTGGTTACACGGGACGAACCTGCGACAGGCCTGGGTCGTGTATATAGGGCGGAGTTGCAACGGGTATGAGTCGCGCGGGTGAGGGGCGTGGCCGGGGTCGCGGAAGCTGGTCGCAACGGAGCTGGCTGGGGCTGGGCGCGATGGGGAAGGGCTTCCCCGGGATGGGGCTCCCCGGGGCTGGGGTCGCCGAAGATGGTCGCCGTGAAGCTGGGCCTGTCAGGACGGAGCTGCGACAGGCCTGTGTCGCGAAGGAGGGTTGGGCAGGGAATTGTTTTGTTTGTAATTTTTTTTTGCATATTTGTGTGTGTGCGCGCACGCGAGAGTGTGAGAGAGTTTT